GCTTAATGTTATGCTACATTGCAATTTGTGATCCGTCCTTAGCAATTGTCCAGCAGTATATATATATATATATATATATATACCCTGTTTAAAATGAAAAAAGAGTGATCGACGAGTTGAACATATAGAAGACAAATTTACACTTTATGTAAATATTTCTTAGTCTTTAGTTTCTCTTTTTACTTTTTTTTAATATTAGTTAGCAACATTCTAATTTATTACGCTTTCAGAGCATGTTTTAAAAAAGTTGTTCTTTCTTACAAATGCAAACATACGGCAATAAATAAGTTAAATAGTGAGTAAATGATTTAAAAATCTCTAAATTTTTCTGTCTTTGTAACTTTAATATGTGAATTGCTGAAAAACCAAACGAGTTTCGTTATTAAAACTTAAAACAAAATACTTCTTATTGGATACGCATCATCAATTTAAAAAAAAAAAAGAAAAAACAAATCTGTTAAGCTTTATGAACGTTATCATTAAAAATAAATTGAAAGAATTAAACTTGTTTTTCAGGCGTGGATGTCATCCTAAATTCACTCGCCGATCAGCAGTTAAAGGCAACATTGAACTGTTTGTCCCAACACGGACGTTTTCTGGAGATTGGAAAATATGATTTATCAAATAACAGTTCGTTAGGTAAGCATAGTTGACACAACAAATCAACTGAATTTTAGTCTTAGAGATTGAGTAATAAGTGTCGGGAAATCAGAAAAACTGTGATTTGAAATTATAAAATAAAATCTGTGAAACATGTTGCTGTGAAACACATCCGGCTTTATTATTCATTCGACATGTACGCATAAAATACTAAACCTTTAGAGGAAAGGTAACTTTAAATTTATTTGGGAAAAAAAGGACTTCTTCTGTCAAAAATTTTTTGTTACGAACAAAAACGTTTTCGGCATTATTTTACAGTGGCAATTGTGAAGCACACAAGAAAAATAAAAATTCAATTCCTTGTTTTCTTTCAAAGGCAAAAAAACAAAAAACAATAAATTTTACAGTATGCGTTAGACATGTTCACATAAAATACTAAACTCTTAGAGAAAAGGTAACTTTAAATTTATTTGGGGAAAAAAGGACTTCTTCTGTCAAAAAAATTTTGTTACGAACAAAAAAGGTTTCGGCATTGTTTTACAGTGGCAATTGTGAAGCACACAAGAAAAATAAAAATTCAATTCCTTGTACAGTGGCAATTGTGAAGGTCACCAGGAAGATAAAAATTTAATTCCTTGATTTCTTTTAAAGGCTCAAAAACAAAAAACAATAATTGTTATTTTATGCGTTAGACATATATACATAAAATACTAAACCTTTAGAGAAGAGGCAACTTTAAATTTATTTGGGGAAAAAAGAACATATTCTGTCAAAAACTTTTTGTTACGAACAAAAAAGGTTTCGGCATTGTTGTACAGTGGTAATTGTGAAGCTCACCAGGAAGATAAAAATTTAATTCCACAAAAACAAAAAACAATAATTGTTATTTTATGCATTAAACATACTCGAATATACATAAAATACTAAACCTTTAGAGAAAAGGTTACTTTAAATTTATTTGGGTAAAAAAAAGACTTGTTTTATCAATTTCTATCAATAAATTTTTACAGCGAACCAAAAAAAATTTTAGGCATTGTTTTACAGTGACAATTGTTAAGCATACAAGAAAGATAAAAATTTAATTGCTCATTTTTTTTAAAAGGCAATATAAACAATAATTGTAACTGTATTCAGTAGGCATATATACATAAAATACTAAACCATTAGAGAAAAGTTAACTTTAACCGTTTGAGTGCGGCGAAGGGCTATCACGCTTCGCTTGTTATGAGCCAAAAAATATTACTACGCATTTCATTCCGCACTATTAGCATATATATAAGAAAACTCTTCAGCACTCAAACGATTAAATTAATTTGAGAAAAAAAAGAATTGTTCTATCAATTTCTATCGATAAATTTTTACTGCGAACAAAAAAAAAAAATAAATAAAACATTCGGCATTGTTTTACAGTGACAACTGTGAAGCACATAAGAAAAATTTAATTCCTAGCTTTTTTAAAGGCAATAACAACTATAATCGTAGTTGCATTTTATTGTATTCGTTAGGCATTGTTTTACAGCGACAATCGAGAAGCACACAAGAAAAATAAACATTTAATTCCTCGCTTTTTCAAAGAAAACAATAATTGTTATTATATTTTAGGGATGGCAATCTTCTTGAAGAACATATCATTCCACGGCATACTGCTAGATGCACTGTTTGAGAATACCAGTTACAGCCGTCGTGTGAAGAAACAAGTTGTCCAGTTAGTGAAGGATGGCATGGCTGACGGAACGGTGAAACCTCTCAACTCAATTGTTTACAATCACGATGAAGCAGAACAGGCATTCCGATTCATGGCCAGTGGTAAACACATAGGAAAAGTCATCTTGAAAGTAAGATTCTGAAGAATAGCGGCTATTACGATCTAATAATGTCTTCAATGTAATCTGTACTTGGAGAGCCGCGATGGCTCAAGGGATAGAGCGTTCGCCTTCCAATGAGGCGAATCGGGTTCGAATCCCAGTCGATACGAATTCCGCATCCGGCTTGCACCGACCACAGTGCTGACGTGAAATATCCTCAGTGGTAGACGGATCATGGGTTAGAGTCCCCTTGCCGTCAGGCTAAACGTGGGAGATTTTTGTGGTCTTCCTCTCCGTGTAACGCAAATGCTGGTTAGCTCCATAAAAAAAGTCCTCCACGAAGGCAAATTTCTCCCAATACTCGATCCAGGAGTTCCCTTGTCTTCTGGATCGGGTTAAAAATTACAAGACTACGGAGTTGAACATTAGTAGTCGTGAACCCATAAAATTGGGTCGGCTGTTCAACGACGGTTATAAAATATAAAATAAAATCTGTACTTGGATATTTCAGAAAAAATAATATTCTCTTTCAGAACACTCGCTCAGTCTGACGTTCTTCGGAAACAAAAAGTCTGTAAAAGATTTGCCCATCCAAAACAAAATTGAAAAACGCATCTTGGTGAAACATTATTAAATGAAGGAGTAATTAACGTAATGAGTTCTGGAAATTAACCTAGTTTGTACAGCTTTTGATCGGACGATTTTAATGGGTACAGAAATATTTAAATGATGAAAAACGCACTTCTGAATTAGTTTTCTTATTCCACGGATTATTTTGATCATGTTATTCAATTTCGATAATGCCATCCATTTCACACCTTCCTAAAATCATGTCTCATTCAGATGAATGACATGAGTTCCGTACCAAGCCCGTGAAAAGGAATTTTACTCTAATTTACCTCTTTCGGCCTCTGTGGTTTTTATAGTTTTTGTTTCTCCTCTTTCATGTCTGGCAAAGTCTGGAAAATTGGCGCCTATTTCTGAGCGCTTGAAAAATGACGACTATTATTTCCAATTGCGTACATTTTTGAAGCTTTTAATTAAGTAATGTCTTACCGCTTCAGTTTCTTGTGATTATTTATTTCGTATTGTTTCATTTATACAAAGACTAGTTAGTAATAGCTAAATAATAATGATGATTTTAATTATGTAAAGTTTTATTAATTTTAATTGTGCTGTTGCTAAGTAATGTGTATATATTGTAGTAAAAAAAATCATGATTTTAACCAATCCTAATGTTTTAGATAAGAGAAGAAGAAACCAATAAAAATGCCATCCCTAAACCAGTGAAAATGGTTACCCTGGCCAGGACAAAGTGCAATCCCATGAAATCGTATGTTATTGTTGGTGGTTTGGGAGGCTTCGGTTTAGAACTTTGCCATTGGTTGATTGAGAAGGGAGCGCATCACGTGATACTAACATCAAGATCTGGAGTTAAATCTGGTTACCAACAACTCTGCTTGCAGAGATGGAAGGAAGAGGGTGTTAACGTGACTGTGTCGCATTTAAATGCATCTAACATCAAAGAAACGGAATCCCTTTTGAGAATGGCATCATCTTGCGGCAGTGTAGGAGGAATTTTCAACTTGGCTTTGGTAAGGACATTTTCAATCCACTTAAATATTCGAGTCCGATTCCATTGACGACAGTACGAATACACTCAGCGGAACACAAATAAATTGCGGCGTAACTACCACTACGATTATTAAACACTAGTATATAACACTAGTATATAATCAATTCACTAGTATATAACGCATGCTAACTCGATTCAGTCTTGGGGAACCTGTTGAAAGATGAAGGTTGGCATTGTCAAATCTCCTTCCCCTTGAAATAAACAGTACGCGGGTGAGCTCCTAATTCTGAGGATGCAGGACTTTGTGACCCAAAAGGTTTAGCGTGTACTAGTCACCATTTACTACACAGGGACTCCTCGGCCGGCTGTATTCGAACTCCCGTTCTTTCGAACGAGAGTCCAGCTCCCTGCCAACTAGGCTATCCCGGCCTTACATTTATATTAATGATATTATATTGACGTTATACGAATTTAGATTTTTCTTAAAACCACTTTATCGTTTAGCTTACTGAATTCGAAGAGTAATGCCTGAAAAGTGGCATCTGTATAATATACCCAGCCATCCCAAACCCTTAAATGATTAATATGCTTCGAATTCTTTGCCATAGATGGCGCCACTGGAAAAACTAGAACAATCACACCTTTCTGCCTAAACAGACATACGTCAGCAACAACAACATTAATATGCTTAGTGTTACAATGTGCAAAGTTCTTCGTTTAGTTGGATTGAACATTGGAAAGGCTCTGAAACACGCCTGATGGAGCAAGATAAAATGCTCAATCACGATTATTTGTTGATGGGATGCAAGTGTGCCATTTATAAAAAAAAAAAAAAAAAAAGCGAGAGAACTACCACAAATGAAATATTTAATTAGCTTTCGTAGACTGTGCGAGAGTTATGATTTATTTTAAATCGTCCAGTAAAATTAGAATTTTTCATCAGAAAAATTTATACCCAAGATACTTTTACGCATAAATAAATATCAAATCGGACATAACAAATATTCCGGACATTCACTAAAGCGACTATGTGATTGTTGACATTCACTGGTGAAAGTCGACATTCTCTTGATTTCGGTCATTTCACGATAACGTATACATAGATTTACAAAAAAAATTTAAAATTTTTTGTACATATTTCAGGTATTACGGGATGCATTTATGGAAAATCAAACAGTAAAAAATTTCGAAGAAGTAGGTGAATCAAAGATCCAATCAACTCTGAACCTAGACCAAATATCCCGTAAACTGTGCCCTGAATTGGAATGGTTTGTTTGTTTCTCATCAGTCAGTTGTGGTCGAGGCAATGCTGGGCAAAGTAACTATGGATTTGCCAATTCAGTTATGGAGAGAATATGTGAGGAGCGCTGCAAACAAGGATTGCCTGGTAACTAATACAAACAATCTTGACCAAATTATACTCCTTTACTCGCAATTTTTATTTCCTATAAGTTCCTTAGATTCATTCTTCTTTTCTATTAAGAAAATCCCTATTAAACGAGTTTTCAACCCGAGAGAGTGCAGCAGTTTTATGGAGTAAATATTGTTACAAAAAAAAAAATTTCGAATCACAACTGTATATTGTTCTATAGAAATTTTATGATAACACAATCGACGTCTTCAAAGATTTTCAAAGTAGTTCTATTTTTATCCATGCAAAATGTGAAAAAATATAAAGCTAGGTACGAAAAATTTCACAGGTTAATATGTTACGGAAGTCTTGAACTTAGCTTATTCATTTAAGAAAAAGAGTGAAATCCTACGTTACTGGCACTCCTGCAAAACTTTTCTCTACAGGCATTTTTTAAATTCCTAATGAATTTTCTATGAATAATGTACCTTCTACAAAAGGCGGACAGTCATTTTTGCCAAAAATTTTATTTATTTTCAATCTCTTTAAAACAGACAACACTTTTTCTAAATTTAAAAAAAAAATCTACATTAAATTCTTAACAAAAAAATCTGCATCTTACTCCCATTTTTTAAAGGATGTAAATTGTTTGCTTTTTTCGTAACTAAAAATATTTTTAAGCTATTTCCTTAATCCTTGCAGCTAATTAATTTTTACTAAAAAAAATTTAACATATCCATGAACAGGTCTTGCTGTACAGTGGGGTGCTGTAGGTGGTGTGGGAGTGGTTGAAGATACTTTGGGCTCCGATGCAGTTGTCGCAGGAACTCTCCCTCAACCTATCCATTCATGCCTTACAGTCTTAGACAAGTTCTTACAACAATCGCATCCCGTGGTCTCCAGTTTTGTGCCATGCCAACTATCACAATTTACTCCTAAAAAACAAGAGAAGCGCCGTGTACTCGATACAATAGCCAATATATTCGGTAAGTTTCATTAAGATATTTTCGTTTTGGGGGGCGTAAAAAACATGTTATCACATTACCTAGTACCTACGAGGGCTGTTTTTCAAGTAAGGGCCTTTTGAAAATAAAACCCAAAGCCAAGTCAAATTTTTTGATGGTTTTCCATTGATGGACCAACATAATCTTGATGGTGACTATTAATATTTCCATCATGAACCCTTATATTTTTGATGGTAACCTACATAAGTAACCATCGCCCCAATGTAGGAATTCGGACTGATTCACGATTGTCCAACATCAAAAAACCCAAATTGTTTTGATGGTATATTCATGAGAACCCACAAGAATTCCCATGAAATTATAATGGAAATGTATAGTTGGGACCATCATGGATTGTTGGTTCATGAGAATCAAACTTCTCTTGATGGTTAACCATCATATTATTAAAGTAGCATTTTCCATCATGGAATAATGAAAGTTTGTTGGCACATCAAAAACGATGAAAGCATAATGGAAAATGTTGGATGATGGTGACCATCAAATGATGTTGGACCCTCATGAATCGCACGGAAACTAACATAAACCATCAAAATGTTTTGATAGGATCATCAAGAACTGTTCCACTCTTCTGTCCTCAGGACTGAAATCAGTCTTGAAAAAAATCACTGGTCTAAATTCAGTCCTCCAATTAAAATCTATTTTCAATTTTTTTCTTAAATTAATTATTCAAAACTTTTTTTTCCTTATTTTTCTTAAAAAATGAAACAAATATTTTCTATTAAAAAAATTGCTCTTTTTTATAATTATTGCTGTATTCTCCTTCTGGTGTTTTGAAATGCTGCGAAAACTTAAATTAAGATTGTTTTTTCTTAATGAAATTTATCAAACTAAGATAAGAAATTAATGAGGAAGTGAAAAATAAGTAGTGATATGAATGACTCCAAGATGGTTCATTCAGTGATTATTATAAAATGATATATTAATTTAACTGTTAGATTTGTTTTGTCTACTGTCAAAATAGATTAATAAAATCAAGAAAATTAAATATTTTCGTGTAAGAAAGAATAAGCTAGTCGTTGATATATATGAGAGCCATTCTTGTGGAAAAGTACATTTTGCAGTCAGTTGAGCTATTATCTTAAAATTCTGCTAAGCAACGCTAGACCATGTTAAATTTTTTTTTTGAAGTAGCACCCTTGACACCAGTGTAGTGTCAAAAAAGAATTAACCGAATAACAAATTAAATAATTTATTGCTTGGCGAAAAAGTAAAAAAATTATTCCTGAAATTTGAAGTCAAAATATAAAATTTTTTTAAAAAAAAGAACTTTTTTTATACATCCCCTGCAAAAGAATGTATGGGTAATCTACGCAACACAAATTACTTAAAAATGAGTGGCAAACCCTAAACAGGCTACTGGAACAATCCTATAGAGAGTTAACCGTGTAAAACTAAAGGCCTGTTTAGACGATCCAATTTCTTGGACAGAGATTGATTGATATTGATGGAAGCTTGTTTTGCTTTGAGCTTTGATCGTGCAAACAAACATCCAATAACTTGGTCCAACTTCTTGGACGATATAGAGCATGTTCTACTTTCCATCCAAGTTTTTTCTCCCTTAACCAATCAGCGTCTTAGGTTTTGTGACGTCAACAATCAGGCAGCAAATTATTTCATCTTCTTGTCTGTTTTCATATATTTTAGTCCAAATAAATTGATCTGTTGCGGTTTATTTGTGTTTTTATGATTTTATTTGAATTTATTTAGTAATTTTAACCTTATGTAAGTATTATTTTATAATGTTAAATATGAACAATGCGCATGCGCGAGTTTTTCTTTCAACGAATCAGCGGCATTCAAGAACTTGGATAGTGTCAACGAATCATCCAATTTCTTGGACAGAGAAATCCGTCCAATTTCTCGGATTCAAGAAATTGTACCGTGTAAACAGGCCTTAAGAGCAGATGGCTGTTGGTGTCAAAATTCGCCGGAAGACTTCCGGTATAATACTTCCGATACTACTTTATGCCTAAGCTTGAAAAATCGCGTCATCCAATAATAATATACTTGTAGTGTTTTCAATATAACGTGTTCCTTCAATCTAACTTTCAACGAAATAAACAACAAATGTATTCGAAAGACTCCGTAAGCTTGTTATGATGCTATCTCAAAATAACAAACGGCACTATTTTTCACAAATATAGCCAAATAGGGGATAACACACAAAACATGGCAAACCCTACATTCTATTTATGCTGTGATATTAATTTTGTTAAATTTGTTTTAGAGCTCACGACCTGTTAGAGTTTATAAATTACAGTAAACTCTTATGAATGGTCAAATTACGAGTATATATAAGCGCAAATCACAATAATGAAACTAATTAAGCCTGAAATTTAAGCCTAACCTAGAATTTTAAGCCTGTTCACACATTGCCTCATAACATAAGTGGAGGGATACACCGAAAGTTTTTTACATTTCTCCCGGTTTTAGGAAGATTGTTATTGTTTACATTCAATTTACCATCCATAATCTATTTTTTCTTCTTCTTCTCTCACAGGTTTGGCGGATATACCCAGTCCTGAATCTACTCTGGGAGAACTTGGTATGGATTCTCTGATGGGCGTGGAAGTCAGTCAATACCTTGAGAGAGAGTTTGAGTTATCCCTCGGCATTCCTGAACTTAGACAGTTGAAAATAAAAGACTTAAAGAACCTTCAAGACTCATAGCAATCTTCATAAATGTCGTTTAATATGCATTTTTATTAATAATAAAAAATGAATTTATTTAATATTATTGAGTCTCAATGCAGTTTAAAAATACACTTCATCAATTTAACCTTTTTTCTTGTCTGCTTTCAAACTTTCTTTCTCTCTTTCCAGCCTTTCTATTTTTGCTGCCAGAGATGGTAGGGTTTTTTACTGAGGAATATAACTCTCAATCAGTTTCTATCAAAGCTTATATCCACAGCTCTGTATAAGTACGCTATCAGAACCAAATTATCAGAACTAAAGACAAGAAGCCTGATAAAACTTCTTTCGTATAAAGATTAAGGAAAGGTTTTGGGGGCACCTAAAATAAATTTCGAAGAAAAAACTTCCAAAGCCAATTTCTTGTTCCATTTTCCACTGGAAAAATGCCAGATATGATATTGAGGATTATATTTATTTATTGTATTAATTAGTGATATTATAATTTAGTGATTATGCATCAAAAAGTTTCCGACGCAGGAAGCCTCAAAACTCTGCTTTTGTGCTTTTCTTATTATCTTGGGCATAATTGTTCCTATATACTAATTATAATAAACTGCTATTAATTAAATAATTCTGTAGAGATGGAGGCTGTCAGAAAACATTATATGTATACTTTTTTTCTCGTGTCATCTTTCAATTCAGAATTTCTTCTTTCTCTTTCCTCCGAAGAAAATTATCTACGGTGAACATTCAAAGCCCTGTTCAATAACTAACTTCTTTGATTCACAATGTGACAGCTATAAGAAACGGTGGCTTAAAGTGCTTGAAACAGAGGGGATACAGAGTATTTTTTGAACACATCGCATGTCTATCTTTCGTATAATAGTATAGAATGTTACAATAAAATACCTGTTGAAAATTATATAAATCTTCACTTCTTTCTTTCTCTTAATTATAGGCGCACTTAGAAAAGGAAAAAAAAGTTTAAGTAAAGGAATATTTTATTTACGTTACGATATTGTAAAATAAATATAAAAATATTACTTTCATTTATTATAATATTTATATATTTAAATAATAAAATATTAAATATTTATTNCCTGCAGCGCCGCCAACAGTTGATACAAACATTCCCAATTGGTATGAGTAAAACTTTTTGAGCTACTCTTTTCAGAGAAATCGACTAAATTTTGCTATCTTTTATAGTTAGTGAGATATGAATTTTTAAAACCCCGGAGTTCTTTTATAGACACCCTGTATATGCATGCTTCAGCTAGCTGTCAAGTTAAAACATGCACATCGTGAATTGAGCGAAGCATCTTAACTATTTTGGTTTGATGTTTTTGCTTTATAAAGTAAAGCTATTTGAAACAAGAGGTTCAACCGGTTTTGTTACTCAATGAGCTTTGCTTTGTGTATTTATGAGGAAAATGTTTTCGTTTTGGCTTGAAGTGTGATTTTCAATTAACATAACTCTAATTAACATTCTACCTATGGCGACACTTCGTCTGCTGGTAGAAAGTCATAGAAAAAGGAAGTACGTTAGTTTCTGTCTTGATTTTCAAATGCATTGCGGTATTGGTCCTCGTTAAACTGTTCTACCGTAAAGTGCGCGACTTCGCGTGCAGGTCGTCGGGCTACCGAAGCGGGGGTGCTATCCCCTCTACTGAGGATCAAAATTGTGATGGCATATCTTTGGATCATCCTAAGGGATGTTTCCCAGACAGTCGCCAATAGCCCATTGTGCAGCTCTCGTGCGACGTAAATTAACTATAACAGCAACAGCAAGATGCAACCCAAAATTTAACCAACGGTAATATTTTACTCAAATACAGCCAAATAATGGATAACACTCAAAACAGGGTAAACCTTACACTTTATTTATGCTGTGATATTAATTTTCTTAAACTTTTTTTAGGCTCACAGTCAGTTAGAATTTATAAATTACAAGAAACTCTTATGAATAGTGAAATTATGTGCAAATTTAAACATAAACCACAGTAGTAAAACTTCCTAAAATATTAAGCTTGTTCATACAGCGCCTCTCAAGTATAACATAGTGGATACACCAGAAGTTTTCTAAATTTCTTCCGGTTTTAGGAAGATTGTTATTGTTTGCATTCTATATAACTATTATATATTTAAAAAAGGTCACATGGTCGCTAGATTTGTTTGTTTGTTTGTTGTTAATTTACGTCGCACTAGAGCTGCACAATGGGCTATTGGCGACGGTCTGGGAAACATCCCGGAGGATGATCCGAAGATATGCCATCACAATTTTGATCCTCTGCGGAGGGGATGGCGCCCCCGCTTCGGTAGCCCGACGACCTAGTCGCTAGAAAAAACGCGCTTTTTTGGCAGTTCTGATTTGACCTCTTTTTGTTAATTATACTGTTTGTTTTTGCTGCAAGCCGTGTGGCATCACACGCTAGTGTTAGTCTATTTTTCGAGCAGCGATATTAAGTTCATTTTACAAATTATCATTTAAGTTTACATTTAGAAGTTGGTATATTGTTTGTCATGTGAGTGTTTTATAAAAAAAATTCTCCTTCAAATGTCGTCAAGTTTACTTATTTATTACTGATTACACATGCTTCTACTCAACACTACTGTGAAAGTTTAATTATTAAAGTTTCTCATCGTAAGCATAAATAATAAATTAGGTAACAAATAAAACATATACAAGAAATGCTACTCAAGAGTCTGGCGATTGCGAAAATGCGAACCGGCAGCTCTTTAGAAACACCACCTTTAAGAAGCTTGCTCTATTTAGCACTAGGTAGCGCAATCAGTCCCTACAAGATTTTAATCGCTTGACTAATGTATGTTATTTAGTGAAGAAGAAGAGGAAGATTGAAAACGATGCCTTCTGGAAACTTCAAAATGTACAGTTGGCAATATTATTCAGTGCGTCAAAAACTGTGATGGCGGACGAGAGCAGTGGTTTGTGGAACAATTTACCCAGCATTATTATTGTTGAAATATTTTCCTTATTAAGCGTAAAAGACCGTCTAAATGCATCTTCTACTTGTAAAGCTTGGAGGGGCAACCTTTTCCATCCAAAACTTTGGCGAAAAGTCGTATTCCATTTAAACAGCTGTGATAATCCCAAGACAGTCAACAACAATCAAAATGACGGGGCCAGATTCCTCTCGAAGCGCTGCGGGCATTTTGTTCAAGAAGTTGTCATAGAACTTAACTCTTTAAATCCACGAGATGTTCAGCGCTGCAAAGAAGTTTTACGAGTGCTTTCTAGCAACAATAATCTGCGTGCATTGTCCATCAAACCACTGAGCTCTCGGCTGGAGTGGGTCGACTACGATGACACTTTCTCACTTGACGAGTAAGGAAACACTTATATTGCTTATGAAATGTCTCTTTTTATTTCTTACTTTATACTGCAAGCACTGAAATCCTCTTTATTCTACTACAAGGGGTAATAGGGTGCCTATCTTATTTGACACCAAGTTCAGTGCTCTAAGTTATACATTTTTGTTATGTTTATTACGAATCTTTTTGAAACACTAAACTGTTTTATCATTAAATGAAAATTTGGCAACACGAAAAGGTAATGAATCACGAAATAATTGCAAGAAATAATAACTACAATGTTTTAATATTCATATTAATGTAACAGAGATACAGAAACACCTATATATATAACAGGGATTTCCAACTTACATGAGGCTGGGGACCGCAATTAGAAACACCAGTTAAATGCCGGGCCGCAACTTTATCAAAATTTTATATAGGACTCTTCTTGTTATGTTTGAAGAAACATTAAATATTACTGTCCGATTTTTATCAAGTTGTACAAAACAAAAGTATTGATTTACAAATCAAAATACAAAGTAGATTTTTACTTGAGAAAAAAAATTTTTTTTGCACCGTTATGTTGAATTTCACAGAAACTATGAAAGTAGGCTTTTTTTTTTCAAACGATAGAAAAGTATTTTAAACCCATGAAGATTTTTTACAAAATGTGTCTGCAGAAAAATAAAAACTTACATATTTTAGTTCGTGGGCCACAAAAGAAGGCTTCGCGGGACGGATGTGGCCCGCGGGCCGCCAGTTGAGGACCACTGATATATAATGTAAATATAATTAAATGAACAGTTGAGAATATCTCTGAATCATGATCTGACGTGTCAATTACAACCGTACTAGCACTTAATTATTTTAAATTTGCAATTTCAAAAAATAAAGGGCTGAGAATCACTTTTTTGTAAAGTTTTTTTTTTTTACTACAAGGAAGTTTCAAATACGGGGAGATTTTCGTATAATGATCTGTGGCAAAATAATTGCCATGTCTTGGAAACTTCCGCGAGAAACTAAAAGAAACATCACAGAAAGGGACCAACTCGAAAGGTATAACTTGTAGCCATCCCTGGATACATGGTTTTTTTTTTAATTGTAAGTTTAAAATCTATTTGGCCCCTTGGCGATTGTAGTTGGTGCGGCAGATCACCATATGGAAATATCCCCTCAAATACTTTGCAATTGTTTTGCTGCATATCATGATATGGAAATATTGCCCTGTAATTTTTTTCAGCCGTCATCTCAGAGAATAAAGCATTCGCCTCCCTATAAGGTGACCCAGGGCTGAATCCCAGTGGTAACCATTTAACACAAATTCAGCACCTACTTTGCATCAACCACAGTACTGACTTGAAATATCTTCACTGGTAGAGTTAGTCTCCTTGTAATCAGGTTAACCGTGTGACGTTTTCTCCTCCGTATACTGCAAATGCAAGTTAATTCTTTTAAAGAACCTGCCTCAAGGCAGATTTTTCCTAATACTTGATCCAAAAGTTCCCTTGTCTTCTGAATTGGGTTTAAAATTTCCAGGCTATGGAGCTGAACATTTGATAGTCGTGAACTTAAAATTAGGTCAGCTGTCCAACGATGGTTTTAAATAAAATAATATTCATTTTTTCAGACATTTTTTATAAAGATGTGTTTCAAAAATTGTGGTGGTATATGGTGTATTGTATACCATTATGAGCATGTAATGGTGAAAATATAAATGAAATAAACAAATTGCCAATCGTGTAATGATAAAAGTTGTAGCAATCCCAAAGTGACTTCAGTGAAAACAAAGAATATCATGGTATCCAGATACAAAGATTCAGCCAAATTAAAATTCTAAAGTTAAAATTTTTGAGAAACCGAGAGAACACAAATTCTATACCTTAACCTTTAAAGTGTAATTATATGCTTATGAAATGTTATGCGGCAAGTTTTAATATAAAATCTTTGTGATTTTCTGAAACAGGGATGCACAATGTACGGCCCGCTGTGAACGAAAATAGCGCATCTAAGCATTATACCACAATGAAAATATTTCAACTTAGTAAAAATGTTTATTTTGGAAAAAGTCAAATTTTGAATCACACATTTGAGTTTTCACTTTTTAATGCAATCAAATTGCATAGATTTCATTGTAAATCTGTGTGGTTTTTTTTATCCCCCGGCCATTTATTGCTATGAATTTCTTCATAATTTTAAAATTCTTAATATTTTTAATATATTCTGATACACGAATTTCCAAAATAGTTATTATTTTATTCACTTTATTTGTGTCCATTTCATTGTTATTCTAAATGAATCATCGTTACTCTTGATCGTGTTTTCAGCAGCTATATTGTCAGATATTTTAATGTTCCCAGAAAAAGAAGATAAATGCTGGATTGACTCAGATCTAATTATGCAGAAATTAGAGAATCCTGAAATTGCAACAGGTGGCTCTTGTACTAGAATTTGCTGTAGATTTAAATTAAATAATGACTTAGTAGCTGAATGAATGATTGTAAATTCTAGATTTAAGTTCCCAAATGCTCTTCTAGCTGAATAAATAGAAGTTTATCATTTTGAACTTTTTGTCCTTTACGATTAACAAGTACCTCATTTCTATGGTTAATGTAGTTATTTTTCAGAAATAAAGGTCAAATTATTGTAATTAAACCCTTTTTTATGTATCCTTATTTTTCAAAATTTTTTTCCCTTTATAGCTTAGCCGAATTTTTATGAAAAATATATGACAATCATGTCAAAAAAAAATTTCCTTCCATTACCATTTTTTAAATTTGAATTTAAAAAAAGTTATAAACCGAAATTTCCTAGGTTTGACATTTTTAATAATTAGCTATAAAGAGTATAAATATCTAATTATTAGTTAGTGAAAAATTGTGTAACATTTTTGGTTACAGTCAAAAATGCATTGATTTTGCTTTATAAACTGCTCTTCCATTTGAGGTTGGCTTTTTGCCAGCAGAAATTGGTTTTTGCCATGCCAGTGGCAGAAACTAAAAAAACTTCTATATTAGTTCTAGTAATTGCTTAATGATATTTTGTTTACATACAGGTTTAAACAGGCAGTTACTGATTATCATTTGCTAGCTTATATGCTGCATCCAAAGTATTTGGGATGGAAATAATCATGTGCTCAAGAAGAAAGTGCCACAATTTTACTCTCCAATATTAACCCAGATTTTGTACCTTATGTCAAAGCTTTGCAAAACAAATCGGCCCCATTTCCTGAAACTTATTTTTCCAGTCAAGTTTTGACAACTACCCCAGCTGCTACATGGTGGTCGAGTTTTAAAAAATATGCAATAGATGAAAGTTTCACAAATCTTGCTTGTTCCTTGATGGCAATGCCTGCTAGTTCTGCTGAACTTGAGAGAATCTTCTCAAATTTCTTGTTTGTGTATAGCAAATTGAGAAATTGTTTAGGTTTAGAAACTGCATAAAAACTTGTCTTTTGTTATAGATTACTGCAGAGTGCCAACAATGCAATATTTGATTTTGAATGGTGATAATTTTGTAAATAAATTGTACTTTGTTTAACATTTAATTGTTTTTCCTATGAATTATCCATTGTATGTCAATCTCAGTACTTACTTTTATGTCATTTTCTAAATTTCTGCCAGTTTCTGTCACAAATATGGCTGAAAAGGATTTCTGCCATGCCAGTTTTAACCGGTTTCTACCAGTGGTTTTAACCACCTCGGCAGAAACTTGCCAACCTTGCTTCCATTATTGCTGGGATTCAACAAATATATTATATTTAACTATAACTATATAATATAATATATAGTTAAATATATTATATTTAACTATATATTATATTTAACTATAGCATAATTTTTGCAATAAGAATTTAGATGTTGACTAATATCAAGAAAAGAACTTTTAATTTAGAGCTTAAAAATAGGCATTGGCCTTATACTAAAACGAGTAATTGAACAGGTTTATTTTCCAGGTATATTGATTACTTATGCAAAATTATTCAGCGGGCACACCGAACTAGTAATTCATTTAAGTCCTGATAAAAATAAAAAATGTTACTTCTTGTACTATATTAAACCTCCCCAATATCTTGATGGTATTGTATTCTTTTCCAGGTATATTGAATACTTATCAGGGGTCTGTGCAAACCAAATTTACTACCGTTTAGCGGTACCTTCACAAATTCAACTTGAGGAAAAACGGTAGTTGGGCCATTCCATGGTCACGTGTGGGACATTTACACAATCATTTTGCAGATAAATTCTAATATAATAAATCTTTTTAATTATTTTTTAAAAATTTGATGCAATTTTTATGACTTGTACATACATACATATTTTTTAAGATTATTATGTTTTTAAAAAGTACGGAAATAGATTATTTACTGTTATTTAAGAAAGTGTCACGTGTGGGACGGAACTGAAATGAAAAAAATCTATTTCTTGAAATAGAAGGAGGATTTCAGTTAATTGAAGCAAATTATTGCATTAATGTATTTTTTTATACAAAAAGTATACTTTTCTGAGTAATGTACATTAGATCTGATTATGTTTTGAATAATATTAATTTTACAATATTTTTTTAAAATTTGCAATAGGCTGTCACGTGTGGGACATCTGTGAAAATTGTGTGATGTCCCACACGTGACATTAAACAAAACAAAAAATTCTGACTCACATACTATTCTTTCATTAGTTGGAAATTTAAATATATATATATATATACTTTTTTTTATATTAGAGCAATTTTTTTATGCAGTGTAGTTAAAGAAGTTCTAAATAAAAACTTTTCTTTACCTTTTATTGAAATTTGAAATGACAATGTAACATATACAAAATAAAAAATTAAATTTTCTCATTAAATTTGAATTGGCCACGGTTATTGACAACTATAGGTGCAGAAATTTTTTTTATTATTTCCCCTTTATTGTACGTGATACAATCAGTAGGAACTGGCCACTTGTACATCCCAGATGTCCCTGCTTGATGCATGACTGATATTTCAATCTCATCTGGACTTTTTATCTGTATTATTTCCCCTGGAAATGCTTTAGAATCAAACAAGACAACTACCCAGTCTCCTTGGCAAAGATTCAAATTTTCAACATACATATACTTTTCATCATAGTGAATTATATTAGTATCATTTGCATTATGCTTGCAATGAATTTTTTTGTCTTTCCACCATATGATGTGGTACTGTTTTATCCCTGGAACACTTGGTACCTTCTCCCAAGGCTTGCATTCTGTAATTTTCTTCTTTATTTCTTCCTCGGCTATATAAAATACTTTTGTACTTTTCACAAGAGTTGATGCTAATTCAGCAAATTCTTTAGCTGATTGAATAACGAGCCCCCTCTGAGCCATCATTTTTTGCCTGACAAGACGTTTGACATTTCCACCTACACCATCAACTACACCTTTTCCATGTGAGGTGGCAAAATATTTCCAGATAAAGTCTTTTTTATACTTTTCAGTAAACAAATGAAGTAACTTGACCATGTACTTATTTTTAAATTCAGATGACGGTCCATCACTCCATATGACTTCTTTTTCAGGGATATTTTCAGGAGTATCATTTGCAAAAACTTCATTGTACAGCAACTGAATACATAAAAATATGGTATCTTTGTCTTTACTGGTTGTGTCAGAGCAAATTATGAATGTTTTACACTCATTTTGATAGAATACTGCTGCTGTGAATAGTAGAACAGTAGCTCTGCTCCAAAGGGCACTTTGAACTTCATTTTGGTACTCACATGAAAAAGACATAGCAAAATCTACTTGCATTATTCTCGTTTTTTGATTGCTCTTGTCTTTTTCAAACTCTGCATGTTGGATTCTTTTTATGTGCACATGCTTCATCATAGTTGGAAGATCATCTATAATTTTTTCATGCAGTGCTCCAGTGCAGGTTTCTGTTGTTGTAAGCTGGATTTTATTATTAGTTTTCTCCCATTCTTTCCAAATCACAGTTTCGGCTGGATTGGAAGGTTTGGACAATAGTTGACCATTTTGACACATAGCACATTCATTTTTCCAGCATTTAGAATCCAGGTTTATATTGCATAGGCAGTTTTCCCAAAATCTATTAGAGTACTCATATCTTAAGGATTTTAGTTTCAGTGTAAAATTTTCATGAATTTTACATTTGCATTGTTCTGATGGTGTATTTTTCATAAGAAGGACATTTTTTGGTCTTAGGCTGCAAAATTTTGAGAAGCATATATTGAATGTAGGATTTTCCTCTTTAAATATAGAGAAAGCTTCTCTTAAAAACATTGTCAAATAATGCTTTTGAAGGACTTTCTTTTCTCCTCCTTCCCAAACACAAATGCTATCTTTCATTCCTGGGCAGGTGTATATAATGTCAGGTCTAAAGAAAAAATTTATAACTTTAGAATAATCTATGCTGCTTTGTTTTGATTTTTCCATCTCTTTATCTAATGTCATTCCTACTCGTTTTGTCAATCCTGCCATAACAGCAGCTCTCTTTCGTGGTGATTTAGGCAGTGCTTTCATTGTTTTTATTACAGCTTTGCTAAAAGTACGCGGAGAGTTGTAAGCTGGTGAAGTAGCATGTAAAGCAACAGCATTGCTTTCTACCTTTTTCTTAGCTCGCTGAATCCGTTTTCTGTCACGTTCATATTTTCGCAATTCCAGCTTTTCAATTTCATTCATTTGTTTCTTCTTCTGCAGCCTTAAAATGCGAAATCTTTCATTTTCTTCAGCCTGGAAATTTTGATTTTCTACTTTCTTACGTTCCCTCATCTTTTTCATTCTTTCTGCACTTGAATGTTTCTTCTTTACATGCAATTCATTCATTATTAACCTGCAGTGTAATAAACAATTTGAGTTACACAAAATAATCTACTATGAAAATGGAATAAGTTACTCCTATAAATTTGAGAACACTTTTTTAAGTAATATTTGGAATTAAGTTAAGCAATCAAAAGAATTATTTGTCTTATTTTTGTTCTATAAAGACTTATCTAATATTCATCCATTTTAATATTTTTAAGTATAACTAATAATTTGATAATATTAATTAGCAAACTAATTTGAGTTGCACAGAATATGAATCTAAAAACAATTAAAAGTGATATTTTGCATTAAATTCATTGTTTAAAAGATCTATAAATATCACTTAATGTTAAATATTATTCCCTTTTGACTAATATTTATCATTTTAAATTAGACAAAAAATAAGTTGATCATCCTCGAATGATTTATTAAATCTTCTCATTCCTAATGTCACGTGTGGGACAAAAAATAATCTCAAAATTTTTTCATTCTGGTGAAACCTACATTAATTCAATAGATTATTCAAAGAAGAATGATTAATTTATGTGTAAAAATGAAATATGTAAACATAATAACAATTCATTCAGTTTCTATTAAATAAAAAACTTCTTTTCTGTCACGTGTGGGACAGTCATTTTAAGCAATTTAAATTATTTATTTCTTATATGTATAACTCAGTAAATGTTTCCAAAGAGAGAGAAAAAAAAGAATAGATACTTACTCTTGCTAAGCGCACTTGATTAATTGTTCAAAATGAAGTTTGCTCTGTCAAAGTTGATCCAAAAGAACACATTTTTAGAACATCTTTAGAATATCTAGAACATCTACATTTGACTGGCTGTTGCCACTCAGAAAAAAAACAAATTTCTTGAAAAATACTTAAAATTCAGTTAGTATAAGGTCTCAACTGTTATATAATGCAAATATTAATATGGGGTAAAAAAGAAATTTTTTTGCTTATTTGGTACCACTTTTCATAGAATCACCCAGTTTCACAAAATACTTTTTCTTAAAATTTCATTTTTGTGTCTCGTATGAAACGATAAATCCATATTTNCTAGTAATTCATTAAGTCCTGATAAAAAACAAAATGTGACTTCTTGTACTATATTAAACCTCCCCAATATGTTGATGGTATTGTATTCTTTTCCAGGTATATTGAGCAAAATTATTCAGCAGGCACGCCGATCTAGTAATTCATTTAAGTCCTGATAAAAATAAAAAATGTGACTTCATGTACTATATTGAACCTCCCCACTATATTGATGGTATTGTATTCTTTTCCAGGTATATTGAATACTTATGCAAAATTATTCAGCAGGCACGTTGCTTGGAGCATTTATCACTGGGTTTTATTGAAGAACTTCTAGATGTGTCAGATCACCTCCTCTGCATGCTCACTGAAAACCAAGCACTCTGTATCAGATCTCTTCATCTCTCAAGTATTAAAGAAGTTCCAGATAACTATTTTGTCAACACTATGAACAGTTCTATGTTTAAGTCATTTTTCAGACTTGAATTTCTTAGTATTGACTACGACTACATGAACGATCAACTTCTCGACGTGCTCTCTCAACCTCAAAAGCGGCCTCTCCGTCGCCTCAGCATTCACGTACATTCCTTTTACTATCCGTTTCGAAAGGTCGGCGATGCTGCCTGGAATTTGCTTCGATCTCACAGTCCATGCCTAGAAGTCACATTGAATCTGTTGCATTTCCACAGTTCTTACTTGTTCATTCATAACATTCTGAGCAGCGAGATGCCGCTGGCGCATTTCAGGGTCTACTTCTCCTCTGGTTTTAATGTCGAGATACTCACTGAGATAGCTTTTCTCAATGAAAGTTCTCTCAAGTCTATAGTTCTTGTAGATGAGTTAAATGAATCATCTAATCATGGCATACAGAGCATTGATCCACTCATAATGTTGGCCTGGAAGTGTAAAAAGTTAACATACATGAAAATCATAGGTAACTAGTGTTTTCTTTTTCTTTCTTACAATATCTCTGCTGCAAAAAGTTCTTAGTAAAAGTCTGTAAAAGTTAAAAGTAAAAGTTAAAAGTAAAAGTTAAAAGTAAAAGTTCTTAGTAAAAGTTAAAAGTAAAAGTCTTAGTAAAAGTTAAAAGTAAAAGTCTATAGATCTTGTAGATGAGTTAAATGACTAGTCATGGCATACAGAGCATTGATCCACTCATAATGTTGGCCTGGAAGTATAAAAGTTAACATACATAAAAATTATAGGTAACTAGTTTTTATTCTTTCTTGCGATATTTATGCCGTAAAAAGCTTTTTCAATTGCAACTGGGTTTGCCACGCCTCAGAGAAATTATTTTAAAAATTCAAGGGGGCGGGATTTCTGGAGAAATGAGACATTTTGCTGAAAACTGTTAAGAGAAAGTTATTTTTCTTACTTTCGCTTAAAAAAAAAGGCATAATTCCTAGCAGCAAAATAACTTGGGGTCCTTATTGGACCAATAATCACTTATCTTGGCTCAATAAGGGCTCAAAGAGCCGTTATTTTCTCAATATTAGCCCTAGATAGAATTGTTCGATTTGGGCGATATTTTACCGCAACTTTACTACCAACATCGGCCCTATAACAATTATCAGATTCTCCTGATATTTTATATTTATTCACTAGACTGCTATTGCCCCTATATACAGAAGTCTGTTTAGAAGAAATTTGGGTCCGTTAGCGGACCCTTCACAAAATGTCTTTTCATAAAAACGGACCCTTCACAAAATAATTTATCTTTTATTTGGACCCTTCACAAATTTGTTTATCTTTATTGTTTTGTTAATCAAGTTAACCCTTCCCTGGGGGGGGGGAGAAAAACTGTTCTAGACAAAGTTTAAATTCCAGATGTAGTATTCTGAGGAATTGCATCTCTAATTTAGTAGCAGCAATTGTTGAGCAGAATCTTGTATCTATTTACAATTTAAAAACTTCTTGAAAAGGTTTTTTGCAATATCAGGACCCTATTTGCACAAATTCACAAAAGCAGGACCCTGCTTTAAAGAATGTGACTTAAGGCTTATTTTATATTCACAAATTATGAATAGTTTTTTCAAAATTTTACGAAAACTGGACCTTTCACAAAATATCTGGACATCGTGAAAATGTATTTATTGCAGTGCTTAAATAATTCTTTACTATGTAATATTTTAACAACGATTTTTATTTTTTTAGCTAAAGGTAAGATTATTTTCTTTTATGTTTGTAGATGTTTAAAAAATGATTTTTGAAATGTTGGGAATTATTTGAACTCAAAAGTTTGAATTTTAGGTATAACATATTGTATAATATAATCAAATACTTCGTGCGAAATAAAGTGAATTCTTGATTATTAAAATTACTTTTATGTTCTCTCAATGTATTACATTGTTGCAGGAAATTTTTTTTTTTTTTCGTTTGTTTCCGTTTGTTCCTACAGAAAAAAAAGATTTTTTTTTTTTCCTTCAGAAATCAAGTATAAACCCTTTTGCAAGATATAATAGAAGTTTTGTTATCTATCAGGGTTAGTAATTTCATATATATGCCGAATAATTTTGTACACATTGCAACTCCATACATTAAACTCAAAACTGTAGTTTAATTTATTTACAGAAGAAATAAAAAAAAATTTTTATCTGCAGGAATAATGGCATAGATAGAAAAAAAAAATTTTTCCGTTAAAAAAACTTTTCTATTTGATTGTTTTCATCGGGACCTGCTAGAGGGCAGTGCTGTAGTCCTAGTCACCACATAATTGGTTTTGTAAGCTGAGATACTGAAGGAAATGGAAAGGCTTTAGAAGGAGTAATTTAGGGAGGGGATTTATTTATTTGTATAGGGGACTAATTTGTATTTGTCACATTATAATAAATTAAACCAGTTTATCAAATGTATAAAATATCTAGATATTTAAACATCTAAAATAAGCATTTTTTTTATTAAAAAATTAAAAATGCTAGCAATAAATCAAGATAACCTTTTTAACTAAAGAGACAGAATAAAAAAATTTAATTATTTTGTTCAGAAAATATGTAATTTTGAAACTGCTCCTCACCTAATATAATGAAAGCGTTTTTATAGACATTTATGCTAACTCACAGTGACGTGATTAAAACCTCATCTTACCTTTGATCTGTCGACTGCATAAAATGTATGTAGGGGTCTGTCCCAGGGTTCGCCAAGTGGGCCCACTTTGAAAAAACCCGCCCGGGTTTTATTGGGTGGGCTCACCTTGAAAAAACCCATTTGGAACAATAAGTTGGTTTTTTCAAAAAATAAAAATTTTTTTTTTACTAAAACTTATTGTTTTGCATTTACTTTTATATAATTTATTGTGCAGCATAAATTTGTCAAATAGAGTTGCATGATTTATATGATTAAGTTTTTAATATTAGTAAAGTAAAAGAAACTCGAATCATCATATAATTTTATAGTAGGTACAGTAGGGAACCGATTATCCGGAACGATCGGGACCATCGCTATTCCGGATAACTGACTTTTCCGGTTTTCTGAATCGCTTTTTATTGTTAAACTCAACTAAAAAAAATTTTTTTTTTGGAAATAATCTTGAAAAGAAGGAAAAAACGATGGAGTAATACACTAATGATTATTTCCAAAATGATGGTAAGGTAAACATCTTTAAAAAAAGAAAGAAAAATCCTAAAATCTTATGAGGAAAAATTTTTTTTTTAAAATTGCGGAAAATTTATTGAATTTCGTTCCGGTTTTTTGGTTTTCCGGTTTTCTGATTTCCGGATAACGGGTTCTGTACTGTACTATTGAAAACTTCAAGTGGGTTTTTTAAAAAAGTAATATTTTAATGATATTAAATCAAATAAAAATTTAAATAATATGCTCTGAAAAGATCAATTTTTCAAATATAGTTGCATGCTTTATATATTAATAAACAGGTTATTATTATTAACTCATATGTTTAATAAAATTGAAAAGAAACAATTTTTTTCTTTTTTCTCCAAGGGATACATTAACAAATTTAAACATTTTTATTTTCTGGCTTTAAAAAAAAAAAGCTAAAACTTTTTATAAAAGAACTTTTTAAAATTATTTATCTAAAAATGAAACTATTTTCCTAGGGTTAATTATTTGAAAACAAATGGGACAAGTAACTGATACTCTTTATAATTATACGTAGTTTTAATTTCACTTTCTATTAATCTTATTATAGAAACATGTAAGACCATTAAATATTTATTTCAGTTTTTTATTTAACTCAAGTCAGATGAAATTTTAGTTTTTACTGATTATAAATATTTACAGATTATAATTTTATAATGGGTAATATCCATATGTTTAATAAATATAGTAAATAAATGTGTGTGAAAACAAAAAGATTAATAAACTTGTTCCTTTTATATTACTGCATTTATATTTTATAATTCTTGAGTTAAAAAATTATGAAACGTAATGTACTTAACAATAAAGAAGATTCAAATATCTATTAGTGATAATGCGTTATTTAAACTTAATATAAAATACATATAATCAGGGTTCCCCAAGTGGGCCCACTTTGAAAAAACCCACTTGGTGATTTTTTTCACAATTTGTTTTTCTCTAATTTGGTTCAAAAAGAAGTATCTATACTATCATTGGACGCATCGTTGAAGTTAACAAATACTTTAGAAATGTACATCAAGCACATGGATGGGCAAATGAAAAAAACTGCTTGATGACCAAATGATACTAGGTGGAATTCATATTGTGAGCGCTTAAAAACTTTTGCCAATAATGACTATAAAATATGAAGAGATTGTTCTTGAGCATCAAAATGAATCTAAAAATAATATGTCAAAAATATTAAATAATGTTGGGCTTTACCAATAAACTATCAGTTGGGAAAAACAGATATCAATTGTTTCTGAAGCTTTAAAAAAGCTTCAATCAAAAAACATTTCAATTTCAGAAGCTGTTGAAATATGAATTAACTTACTATCGTGTGATGAATTAGAACCCCATAAACATTATGTAAAAAGATTCAATCAGGCTGTTCAGCCACATCGTTTATTAGCATATGCATCCTGGATCCCGAAACAAAGGGACAATTTTTAAATGATGAACAAGACCAATTAGCAGAAAACTATCTTTCTAAGCATCATCCAGAATTTCTGCCACATGTTACAGCATTCAAAATTTCCGATCCTGAATACTTTCCAAAATCAATGATGCTTGACACTGTTATTCAACAGTTTTCATCAAAAAATAGTGGAAAATTATGGCAAAAAAAAAAAAAATTAGTAAATAAATAAATAAAATTCCTGGCTTCCACAAAATTTCTGTCAATTCTTTTTTCTTTGCACTCAGCACCAGCATCCTCTGTCTCTATCGAAAGACACTTTTCAACTTTCGGTTTGGTGCAGAGTAAACTTCGAAATAGATTAGGAATAGATAAAGCTACAAAACTCATAAAAGTGTATAACCATCTAAGAGAGAAATGTAGACACTTTGAATATTTTGTATGATAATAATAAAGGAAAGAAATGGACCTTTTTTTAGAGTCAACTCTTAACATCTGCTGACAATTTTTAACTATTTGGAGAAAGTTTATCACAATTAGAAAACGGTTAAAAATTAAAATATTACTTTTAAGATTTTTTAAATATTATTTTTAAGATTTCATTTGAATACAATTTATTTTGTTTCTTTTAATCATGTTTAAAAATATTGAAAGCAAACAAAAAAAAATTTATTAAGTGATACATTAAACAACAATAAACAAATTTAAAGTTTTATTATCTGATTTTAAAAAAATAAGCTATAACTTTTTATATATGCTTTTTTATAATTTTAAGATTAATTTGTTTTTTGAAACTATAAAGTTAAAATGCATATATTTATCTAAATATTTGAAAAAAGG